TTTTTTTTTTTTTTTTTGTGTGTGTGTGGCTGCAGGTTGGCTTGTAAGGAGATTGATATGGGGTGGACTGACTCAAACTTGGTAAGTTTCCGCATATTGAGTCAGAAAAAACAGAGGCAGATTCAACATTTTAGTAGCAAGTGCGACCACACACTGACCAACAATATATATATACACACCATCACCACCACCAACAAACCCAGTGCAATCTCACGCGTGGGGTCTGGGGAGGGTAATGTGTATGCAGATCTTATTCCTACCTTACGAAGGAATAGAGGCTATTTCCAATACACCAAAAGAACTTAAAACATATAAATAATAAATCAAATCTATTTTGTACCTATTGATTCTACATTATGGATTCAACTTTGATGGTGAATTGGAAATATAGTAGCAATATAAAATTATAATTTTTAATTGCAATTTTTGCAGAGGACCTTGGAGGTAATATTGATAATATTGAGCGGGACACAAATGTTCTGCACTGGTGCAATTCATGCTGGAATTGGAGATGTTGCTACTCGAGACCTTTAAGCAGAGGAAGAGTTTGAAAAGATTCCCAATTTGTTTATACAGAAGAACCTATTATTTTTTCTTTCCCTCTCATTTTACGCATCTTTAAGTTTTAATGTGTGTGTAATATGTATTGATTTTGTTGTCTTGTCCTTTTCTTAATGGACTTTGTAAAGATGTGTTACATGGTGTTCTTTGTCTTGAGCAGATTGAAGAAAGAGTTGTTTGATTTGTTTCTTGGTCTTTTATATTGATTTATAAAAGTGAATTGAATATAAAAATAAATTTTTTTTTTTTGCAGCCGATTCTAGCGTTCACTTTGAGGTTTTATTGAATATGTCGAAAAGTTTCACATTAAACTATGTGATTTTGTTTACTCTTGCAAGTAACACTAAAGCTATGTGATTATTTGATTAATATTACATGTCCCGCGATAAATAAGGAAGAAATTAAAAAATAGTCAGAGTTACGACTGATCGTTCAAAAATAGCTCAATTTTAAAAGTAATAAAAATTTAGTTGCTTTTCATGTAAAAATAAATCTAAGCGAAAACACTGTTCAAACCCGGAAAATACGCCAGTATATTATACTGGAGTCCCAGCATAAGTATGCTTGAACTCCAGCATATTATACTGGAACTCCAGCATAATATGATGGAGTTCCAGCATAAGTACACTAGAACTCCAGCATAATATACTGGAGTTCCAGCAAGTATAATTGTCCAGTATAATATACTGGAGTTTGGAGCACCGGTGCTCTAGTCTCCAGTATATTATACTGGAGTCAGCAAAGTATACCGGTCCAGCATAATATGCTGGAGTTCATACACATGTGCACTGAACTCCAGTATATTATGCTGGACCGGTCTCTGTTGCAGCAAAATAGTGGTTATTTTTCATTGATTTCGCAAACGCTGGCTATTTTTGAATGACCAATTCGAAAACTGATTATACCGTGCTATTTTTACCGATAAATAAGGTAACTTAGTGTACCATCATTTGCCACCCCCAACCCAAAGAGATAGAAAAAAAGAAGAGAAATGTCAGGAATGTGCCATTTGAAAATGCTAAAAAGATGGATGACCAAAAAACCAAGTAGTAATTTCAATATTAGGGAACTAGAATAGCGTGTAATTTTTTTGTTTTTTTGTTTTTTTTATTTGCGGGGGGAGGGGGGGATGACTCATGATTAATTATTCAATTAACATGAATTGTCAAATAATAAAACATTATAATATTTAGGCCAAGCTGAGGATCTACTGGAAACAACCTCTCTATTCTTACAAGGTAGGGGTAAGGTCTGCATATACACTACCCTCCCCAAACTCCACGGTGTGGGATAATACTAGGTATGTTGTTGTTGTTGTTGTTGTTGTTGTTGTAATATTTAGGCCAACAATATCGATAACAAGTTACCACACGCTAGTAGATGATTTGAACATCAAAGCAAATACTTTAATAACCTAAATATTTAATGATGAGATCATACAATATTTTAAATTAAAACCTATATATTCGGCAATGAGATTCGTTTAGTGATACATTATGCGAGTCTGATGTTGATGATTTGTCAAACTTCATGAAAGAACCAGATAGGAACCTGATACAATCAGGTTCCTTATGCTCACTGAAACATACCTTGTTGTCTCGCTTTATACTCAAAAAAGACAGACAAGGGAACTACACAGCGAAAGTTAGGATCAGGTCCCCAAGTCGTCGCACAAATTAACTCTACAACTGTTAAAGCTGGTGCACTGTACTTGCAATAGTACCGCAATACATCTGCAGTTTGCTAGAGACCGAAAATGTTCTTGTAACTACTCTCATGATCTCCCATATATATACAACATGTTACAAGGCTTTAACCTAATACATGCAATTACAAAGCATACATTCTCTCAAGTGTGCAGCCGCCGCTATTTCCCTCAGGTGCATTGAAGAATAAAGCAGCTACAAAATAAAGGACCAGATCCCAGAAGTGAATATGTGTTGCGCCCTTTAGTATTGTTGTGTCTTTGTTTTATATTATTTAATTGTAAATCTTAGACAGCTTTTTAGAAGCATTTAGTTGGACATCATTTAAACCATAATTGCTTTTGGTTGTTTGACTAGAGTTAGTCAAGTGTGTAGCTTTGTAATAGAGTTATTACAAAGGGCTTACAATATGTTATGTAAGAGGTGAGGGATTAAGAGTTTAATTCCTAGATTGCAATAACTTTTAATCTAAAATTTGCTCAATTAGTGAAGTTGAAATCCTAATAGGGTAGGTCGACGTGTGCTGGGAGTTTTTCACATAAATATTGTGTGTGTTTTATTTACTAATATTTACTATGGAAACTGATAGAGAACCTGATTCTCTATATTGTTTGATGGACCCTTAACCTAGAAAGGATCTTCATGGCTGCTCCACCAAACTTCGAGGAAGGACAATCAACCTACAGACCACCAATATCCAATGGTCAATACTATGGTTGGTGGAAAACAAGATTGCATGACTTTATCATGGATGAGGACTCGGATCTATGGGATGTGGTCTATGATGGCCCTTTTGTTCCCATGAAAAATAATGGTGAGGGAATATCTGCAGTCCCAATAACAAGAATGGAGTATAAAAATGCTGATAAAAAGGCCATCGAGAAGAACTTTAGGGCAAAGAAGATTCTTCTTTGTAGCATTGGACCAGACAAATACAATCGCATATCTACGTGTCAATCTGCTAAAGAGACTGGGAAGCTCTCCAAACTGTCCATCAGGAAACTACTCAAGTTAAGCAGTCCAAAACTAATATGCTTACTACCGAGTATGAGCTTTTCAAGATGAAAGAGGATGAGTCCATTTAAGACATGCATACACGTTTCAGCTCTATTATCAATGAGGTTCACTCCCTTGGAGAAGTCATCCTAAGAAACAAGCTGGTCTGCAAAATACTCAGTGTTCTACCAGTTTCTTGGGAAAGTAGAGTGAATTCTATCACTAAAGCTAAGGATCTGCAAAAGCTGACTATTGATGAACTCATTGGAAATCTCAAAACTTATGAGATGAAGAAGAAGAAAGATCTTGAAAGGAGAGAACTCAAAAATGAGAAGAACCTGGTTCGTAAGGCTAACAACAGTGACTTAGGTTGTGATGAGACAAACATGGTCTATCTTACTCGAAGATTCCATAAAACTGTTTGAAGAAATGGAGGAATTCCCAAGAGAGGAAGTACTAGCAGGACAACAAAAAAAATTATTGTTGTCAGAAGTGCAGAAAGCCAGGACATTTGATCAAAGAGTGTCCTCTTCACAAGCAGGACCACTACAAACACAAAGCAGAGAAAGTGATCAAGAGGAAACAAGTTCCAGACAGAAGATTCAAGAGAAGAGATGTCGCTGACAATATTGTGAAGCAGGCTCTGGCTGCCTGGGGAGATTCCCCAGTAAATCTGAGGGTGAGGATGACCAAAGAGACACCTCCATGATGGTTGTAGAAAGTGGATCTACAGAATATGATTCTATCTTTGCACTCATGTCCAAATATGATGATGATGAGGGCAACGAGGAAGATGAGGTAAATTTTCTTGACGTTCAAAGAAACTTGAAAACTTACTCTCAAAAGAAACTGATATCTTTAGCAAACATTTTGATTTATGCTTATCTCAACCTCATTAATGATAAAAATGCTTTAACTGAGGAAATTGGAGAGGTAGAACAAGAGAGAGATGATTTGGTGGTTGTAGTGATAGATCTGAAGGAACAAATAGAAGAAATAACAAGAGAAAATACCTTGTTAAAATATCAAATAGAAAAATAGATGAACACCCCTAAAGGAAAAGAAGTGGCTTGATAGACTCAACTTAAGCTTGAAAGTGAGCTCAAAGAGGTCAAACTAAGTCTCACTACTAAGCTTGAAAAGAATAGACAACTTCAGAAGGACTTAAAAAGGGCTAAAAATGATTTAGATAAGTCCCTTACATGGACCTGGTCCTCTGATGCAATCACGTTTATGTATAAAAGTACTTGTGGAAACAGACAAAGGAATCGGGTTCCATAAGGCTAAATTCCCTTATAATCCCTATATCAAAATGTTATTTTGACTGATAATTGGCTCTGCAAGGTCAAACTGGTTACTACAAGGACTATTGTAAAGCTAAATTTTAATCTCAGCAGTAAAACAAAGTCTTTGTTGAAAAGCAACCTACTGTTAAGGAACTTGGTACTCAGAATATGAAATATATGATGCTTGCATGGACAAAAAGAATTTTGATTCACCCATTCTATAATTACAAGGGACCCAAATTGATTTGGGTTCCTAGATCTAACCAGTGATTTTATGTGCATGCAAAAGTGAAAGGAAGTAGCCAAAAATTGTACATGGACAATGGCTGCTCTAAACATATGACTGGAAGGATGGATGATTTTCTCTTACTCAAGGCCTTGCAAGGTCGGAGTGTATCCTTTGGAAATGGCAAGAAGGGATATATTATTGGCGTTGGAAAGATTGTCAAAACACTTTTCCACTCAATTGAAAATAGGTATTATGTTAATGGCTTGAAATACAGCTTGTTGAGGTGGAGGTGGAACAAGAACGTTGTCTTGAGGCGGACGGCCTCGTCTAATTGCTCGAGGTTCAAAAGGAACTTCATCAACTTGGTCATCATACCTGTCATCCCCCAATGGCATGTTTCCAAGAAGATCATTGTTATTGAGAGACATTGTATCACCTACAATTGTTTCACAAAAAGATTAGTAACCCAGAAGTAAAGGAAGACAAATCATACACAAAACCAAATATATAGCTAAATCCATTTTTAGCTCCCCGGCAACGGCACAAAAAAGTGATGTCATCCAAGTTCACACCTCAAATTAGGGTTGTGAAGCGGTCGATGCAATTATAATAACCCAACTAGGAGTCGGGATCAAATCCACATGGAACGTAGATGGGATTAGGAATATACTTGGACTAAGCGTATAATGTGTCCAAAATGCACTTCCACACACTTTGTTGTTTTTGTCCACTTCTAAATTAAGCTATTGTTTGCAAATATAAGACTAGAGAATGATATTTTTGGTGTTGTTTTTTAAGTTATAAAAGATCTATGGCTGTGACTTTCACCTAGGTAGTTGCCTAACGGGTTGTGGGCTTTAGAACAAGTTTCGTTGGTCGGGACACAATATAGCAATCAACATGCAATTACCCACTCAATACCTCTCGGTAATAGAGTGGTTTTGCCTAAGTTGGCTTTATCAAGTCCAAAT